CCATGAATGACTTAAAAACTTCCCCTATTTTAAATTTAAAAGTTATTTCTACATTTTCCCTGTTATTGATAATGCTTAGTAAATATTTGTATGCATAAAAAGCGTCCTCTTAAAATAGTCCTTTAGGATACTATCAGCAGCAAGGATATCTTAAAGAACATAAATTTTTTCATGTTTTTCCTCATCAGCTGCATAGTTCACAGCTCAAAATGCCATTCCAATACTGCAAGGCACCATTCATAATCTTTGATAGTCCTCTACCACAAATTTATCCTAACAAAGATTATTCTCATAAACTGTGACTGGGACTATAAATTGGCACTACTACTTTACAAGGCAGTTTGAGGTGTTTTGGAAAAATGACAATGGATAATACTCTTTGACCTTAGAATTCTACTTCAAGGAAAGGGTTCTTTGAAATACTGGGTATCTAAACAAAGAACAGTGAATGAAGATGTTTACTGCTGCACTGTTTGAGGTAGCAAAGAAACAGAAACTAACCTAATTATTCATCAAGGAGAAAATGTTTTAAATATGATAAATGTAATTATGATATAATAGAGTTTTATTTCTTTTACCCTATAGGACTGTATGTATTTGAATCACCTACAATAAGCATATGTTCAGATAATAACTTTATAATTAAAATAACTTTTAAATAAAAATTAAAGTGCTTGAAATGAGGCAAATCCAATATATAGATATATATGATTACCCTCTTTTATTTTATCATCAATCTAAATAACACTAAAAACTAACTTGTATATTCTGAGACAGCTAATGTTAGGTTCAGCTTGATTGGGTTAAAATATGTATTATTGTGGCATGTGTCTATGTTTCCAGAGGAAAACAGCATATAGTCCGAGTGGACTGGGGGAAAATCCACCCTGTGGGGAGCTGGACACCATTCAGACAGCCAAGCAGGTGAGAACAATGACAGCGAAAAGATAAATGTGTTGATCTGTCTCCTGAGCCAGGATACACTCCTCTCCTGCCTTTTGACATCCGAACCAGGTTCCCAGACTCCAGGATGCACACTAGCAGAACTTTGGGTTCTCAGGCCCTCTGACTAAAAGCTACACCTTCACCTTCTCTGATTTGAGGCTTTTGGACATGAGTCACACTCCTGGCATCCCAAGCTCTCCAGCTTCCACGTGGCTACTGCGGGATTTCTCAGTCTCCATAATTACTGAGCCAATCCCCTTAATAAATCTCATCTGCCTGCCTGCCTATCTATCTATCTATCTATCTTCCCATCTATCTCCCCAACTATCTATCTCCACATCCATCCATCTCCCAATCCATCCATCCATCCAACCACCTATGAATCTATCTACCCATCTATCATCCGATCCATCCATTCACCCATTCATCCATCTGTTCATCTATCATCTATCCATCCATTCATCCACCTATCCATGCATCTATCCATTATCTATCCATCTATCTCCCCATCCATCCATCTTACCTATCAATCATTTATCTATCCATCCATTTATCCATCTATTTATTTATTATCCATCTCCCTATCCATCCATCATTCCTCTATCTATCTATCTATCTATCTGTCTATTATCTATTTATTTATCATCTTTCTCCTATTGGTTCTGATTCTCTGGAGGACCCTGAATAATATGCATTCCATTACTGTCTTAAGCAATGGCCACTCACTTGTAGAATAAAAATTTAGGAGGCTGGGAATTTAGCTCAGTGGTTCCGCAGCCTGCCTCGCAAGCACAAGGTCCTGAGTTGGATCCCCAGGACCAAAAAGAAAAAAATTTAGAAGTGAAGCCAGGCATGGTGGTACACGCCTGCAATCCCAGCACCTGGGAGGCTGAAGAAGGAGGATCAACACAAGTTCAAGGCCAGCCTGGGCCACATAGCGAGACTCTGTCTCAAAAACAAACATCTAGAAGTGAAGTAATGTTAAGAAAAGAAATAGATAATTGGAACTGTAAAAAGTAAGAAAAAGACAGAGGAGTCAGGTATTTTCAAGGAACCTGCATTCCAAACCACAAATTATAATAAGGTAAATAAATAAAATCCACTTGTAGTGATACCACTTTTTCATACTGGTTTAACTTTACTGTAGATTTGCTGCATTCAAAGACTACTGGGGGCTGGGAGTGCTGCTCAGGGGTACAGCACTTGTGTTGTACACAAGAGGCCTTGAGTGTGATCCCCAGTACTGAAAAACAAATTTTTTTAATAAAATAAAATCTGCTGGATATTTATTTAAGCCTCCTCCAGGTGTCAAAATGTACTGAATGTAAACCAGTATATTTTGCAGACCTCTGGATCCGGAGCACAGAGGATACTATTTGAACATCAAAACTCAAGGTCTAGGTCCACCAACTGATCTGAGGGTGGAAAGTAGAATTCTGTAGCTTCCCCAAGCACTCCACGTGACTTGTGAATCCCAAACTTAAGATATTCTTCTTTCAGGAAAACTGACCATCACAGTAGTGACTTGCAAAGAGTCACTGCATAAATTAAAAGAAAAAAAATTCTTATTTGGCTTTCTAAAAGATGAAAAGATCATACAAGAGGGCCCCTCCTCCTATCTGTGGTTTCAGATATTTGTGGTCAACTGTGGTTGAAAAATATTAAACAGAAGCTTGGTGTGGTGGCACTCGCCTATAATCCCAGCATTTGGGAGGCTGAGGCAGGAGGATCATCATGAAATTGGGGCCAGTGTGGACTATATAGCAAAACCCTGTCTTCAAAACAAAACACAAAATTGAATAGAAAATTCCAGAAATAAATAATTCATAAGCTTAAATTGTGCATCATTCTGACTACTGTGATGAAATCCTGTGCCGTCCTTCTCTGTCCCAACAGGACAGAAACCACTTTTTTTGGTCAGGAATCTATGCTGTATACACTACCCTCCTGTTAGTCACTCCACAGTCATCTCAGTTATTAGCTCAACTGTCCTGGTATCACAGTGCCATGAGTTATTTTATTAAATAAGTAACAATTATTTTATTTAAAAATGGCCCCAAAGTGCAAAAGTAATGATTCTGGCAATTTGGATAAACTAAAGAAAAGGCATAGAGTTTCCTTTAAGTGAAAAGGTGAAAGTTTACCATAAGTATATATGTACAGAAAGAAAACAGCGTACACGGGGATCAGGATTATCTGTGGTTTCAGACACCACTGGGGTCTTGAAACGCATTGCCTTGGAGAAGTGGAGACCACTGCCATTTATTTTCTATAGATTAAACATTCTAACCTAAATAAGTCTGATTTCACCACTGCAGCAAGGACTGTCTATTTTGATCGCCACTGTGTGTTCAGCTGCCAGTGTGCAGCGCACAGTGCACAACATTCGCTGAATTATTGTGATTTGGACCAGAGCTCCTCACACACAGAAATGAATTTGTTTCAACTAGAGTGGATGGGAGGGAAGAGAATGAGCTAGAAGACACAGATGCAAAGACAGGACTCTGTAACTAAAAAGAATGTGATTAAGGCACCTGACCTTTCTGAGTCTCGTATCCCTTTTTCCATAGGGTGAGGGAGTCGGTTCTGTGAAATCAATGGCCAAGAAATCATCCAAGTGCAGTGTGAAATGCTGAAGTGCAGACTCCGGAGCAGTTTGGACATTCCCTTGACAAATGTCGTGGGTGTACTCATTTCAGAATTGATGTTGTAAAGACAAAGAAACATTTGAAATGGGGATATTACCTTCAGCACTGATTTGTCAGTCTGTGATTAAGTGTGAAACCGCTCGGAAGAGGGCAATCCATTGGAAAGCAAAGCAGGAAAGATAACGAGTAGAGAACTGTCAGTCTATAGGTTTTACACATTGTTATTCCAGATTTCAAAATCTACCATTTACACAGATTATTTTTACCAAACATATTCTGGAATGCTACCTAATATTAATGAATCTATGGCATAGTTATAAAAAAATGCAAAACAAATAAAAAAATTTTTTAAATGCAAGATTTCTTTTAGAGGGCATCTCTAACAACGGTTTGTAGAAAACTCATAACTGCGGGATAGTGAATCACCTAAGCCCATGTTTTAAAACACCAAAAAGACTTTGTAAGGACAGAGAGATCAGATGCAAAACATGCTACATTTAGAAAAAAGTTCTACTTACTAATGAACATGACCTTCATTTACAGAACTGCAAATGAGTCTTATCTGCAGCAAAGCCCACGGAGAGCAGAGAGGGGGTGTTAATCTGAAAGCCCATCTCCAAAACTGCTATACCAGAGCAGGCCACCCACCAGATGTCTTAATGTGCATGAGGAGTCCCTGGGCTGAAATGGGAAACGAGGAAGGGCACCCTTAGGGCTCCAGGAAACAGGCTCGGGAATCCAGACAAAATCAAAAGTTGTTCCACTGTGGGAACGGGGAGGGGTGGGCTGGAAAGGAACTCGAAGTCACGTGCCTTAGCCTGCTGCCGCTGGCCTTCGCTCCGGGGTAAATGCTCTCAGGCACTTGGGCAGAGAGGTTCCCCAGCTACTCTTGGCCCAGGCCCCGCACACTCTCCCCAGGATCTCCATGGAGGCAAAGGCTGGAAGAGCAAGATGTCTTCTGGAGGCCTGGAAAGACCACTAGAGAGCGGAACAGGCTTTGCCCAGCTTGAAGCACCCAGGGGTTGTGAGCAGCACTGTGGACAGAGGCAGCAGAGCAAGCGCTGGGAGCAGCAGGAGGCAAAGGACCATGCGGAGAGAGCAATGCAAGAAGCTCTGGCTCCACCTCAAGGCTGCTGGGGAAGAAGCTCACACGGTGGCGGGAAGAAGCTCACATGGTGGCGGCCAGAAGCAGCGGCCGTGAATGACGCCCAGTGTGCACCTCGCAGGGCACAGCTGCCACAGCCTCCATAGAGGACCTGAGCGTGTCCTCAGCATCCTCAGGAATCGGAACCACACTAGCCTGGGATCACAGAGGCAGGGCCTCAAAACCACACGAGTGGCTCTCATCCCGACTGTCTGAGGGCTGGAGCAGCCCCTGCGACAGGCTGACCATAAACGTGCACTCACATGCTTCCGGAGCCAGGGCGCTTTGGACAACTTCATAAAGGTCAGGTGGGGCTTAAAACTTCTGCTTTCTCCAGCCAGGATGCCTTTTTCTTGAAACATCCTTTTTGCAATCTCTGAAAAACATCAAAAGGACACAAAACTGCTACTGTAACTACACAAAAACATTTGGAACTAGCAATTCCAATTCTAGAAAAATACAAAGCAATAGCAGTGTCAGAATCTAAAATCCTGTACGGAAGATATTTATTAAAGCATTATCTTGGATTAGCTTAGATTGGAAATAACCATCAATAAAGGAATGGTTGATAAATTAGAATACAATCATACTAAGGACTATCATCCACCTAATAAAAAGAATTCATCAGAACTACACATATGGGTTCAAAATGACTACATATTAGCAATCTGATATTTCTATGGTACACAAGCACTACACTGCAATACACAAGTATAATTCTTTGCCATAAATGTAAAGACTCACTTGCCAAACACTATTATAAACAGCTTTTTATTTGTCTTTATGCAAAAGTAGGTGGGGTTGGGGCTGGGGATTTAGCTGAGCAGCACCGTGCCTGCCTCGCAAGTGGCAAGGTCCTGAGTTCGATCCCCTGTACCAAAAAAAAAAAAAAGTAGGCGAGGTTAATGCTAGCGAGGTAATTTTAAGGGTAACTGAAGACTGAAGACTAAGAAGTCGACCCTGAAGGTTCTGGCACCTGATTCGTGTTTGAGGAGCTGCAGCCCAGGTGGCCTGACTGCCACTCCCCTCATGCTTCTCTCTAACATCCAGGGCTCCAGAAACTCTTTTTAAAAATACATTTTTCAACACACTATGAGAATGAAAAGTACGCCTTAGTTTTAACTGCGAGTCCTACTGGAGTCCAGAGATTGCTAAAGATGCACATAATTATAGCCAGAAATACTTGGATGAAACAAAACTCAGCGTCTCTCCGTCCTCCCTGAACTCTTCCTGAACAGTGTAAGGTTTCAGTTTTTCTGCCTGGGAACGTGAAATGAAACAGATGCATGGGTGAGCAAAACAAAGACACCATATTGCTCTTCCTAAGAAAATGAAAGGTTCCATTAGAACAGCCGGTCCACTCGAAAATAATAAAATAAGGTGAATATAATTCATTGAGAACAGCAGAGTCTCAAAACGAAAATCCTGGGACAACAGGAAAACCCCATGGATGCGTTCTGTTTACTGACGACAGATCTTTGAGTGCCATCTCTGACGTCCGGCACGGGTCATCGCTCTGCTGGCTTGGCCAGGAGGGTGAAGGGCAGACAAGAGAATGCGTACTGGGAGCGGACAGAACCCTGGAGCGGCACCTGGCACCTTCATCTCAGTGCCCAGCATGGCTGGGCCACAACCCTGGCCCCTACGAGCTGCTCATCAGGACTGGCTAGGCTCAAGCTAAGTATCAACCCAGCTGTAGGTGTGTAATGGATGTTCTGTCACCTGTTCATCAAAATAACCCTAAGAGTGAGCTGTTATTATTCTCACTTTACAAAACAAAGAAACTAAGACTAAAATGTCAGTAGCTTACTCAAAAATCCTCAGCTAGGTAGTGAGGAGGACAGAATTTGAACCCAAATTTTACTAAGTACTAAGTTCACACTGCCTCCTACATGAAGAATCCAAAATCTTCTTTCTCCTTTCTAAGAAATGTTCTTCAGACAAAAGCTAAAGGTGGTTGGGATAAAGACTTGTACACCAGATCTGAAGTGCAGTCAACAAGCTCTGGTGTGATCTCTCATTCAATCAACAAATATTAAGAACCTATTATAGGGGCCAGGGATTTAGCTCAGTGATTTCGCTTCGCACTGCGCAAGCTCAAGGACCCGAGTTCGATCCGTGGTACCCGGCCCCCCAAAAAGAACCTATTATATGCCAGCTACTATTCTAGGAGGTAAAGAAAAGGAACAAGATAAATTCCCTGCCCCTGTAGAGCTCCCTTCTATGCTGTGTGCCACAGAGAAATACATAAAATAAGGTCAAGAATTAATAACTGAAAGGCAGAAAAATGCAATCAGGGAAGGGCTATGAGTGATACGGAAGAAAGAGGGCTGGTATTTTAGGTAAGGGAGTTTGGAGTTCCTAAGATGTGGCTAAAGGGATTGAGGACTAATTTCTAAATCTTCAAATATTGGGAAAATTATCACATTAGCAGAGCTTCGGATACCAGCTTAGAAACGTGCTTATCACCTAGGAAACAAAATCAGCACAAAGATGTGAGCACACAAATTCCCCTATTCTGTTGCTTACTGACATTGCCACGCATGTCGAGCACATTAACCCCTGAAGCGTTACAGAGGACCCCCACTGGCAGGATTATCAAAAGTGCAACTGACAGAGGAAAAGGCCTTCAGTTAACAGAAAATGGTACGCATTTGTACCATTCTTTACTATGTACATTAACTTGTGCATATTATTTGATATAACAATCTTATTATCAAGTGAGTCCGTAGGAACATTTTTCAGTTTATTGGTTTTGGTTACTAAAGGTTTAACCTAACAGTTTTCGTTATTCATGGGATCTGAAATCATTGATAAAAGATATTTATAAAACAATTACTTGTCACATTTAATTTCTTTTGGTTGTAGTTTCTCAGTATATTTTAGGTACCCAAGTATATATTTTCTAGGTGTATAGAAAATTATTTCTGGAAATAATTTCTTAATAATGATTTATGTTTCCACTAGTAGTATAATCTATTGCTTAGCCAGAATATCAGGTAATGGTCACAAAATATCATTTTTGAGATGAGTTTTTGCTAATGTGAAAAACATATCACTTTTCATCTATGACAAACATATTCTGGAAGAGAAGCTTATGAATAATTACAGAGATTATCTAATTCTTCCTAGTAGCATAAAAATTCCTTCAAGCACTAAACAAAAAAAATCACACAGCAAATACATCAGACATCCTTCAAAAATCAGCTAAGAGCATTTCCTAAATAATATAATTTATCTCATAGCTGAACATGAAAGTTGTCTAAAAAAACAACTTCTTTAAAATACATTTTAAATACTAGGAATCTTTGCTATATATAAAAGAACACTGAAAGAGATAATTTCATAAAAATACAATGGTTTGTAATCCCCATAATTATAACTCTACCTTTTCCTTACATATATGTATTTATTTTTACATGGAGATTTTCTCCAAGTGAACTTTTAAAAATGTAGTAGCAATAAATTTATACTTAAATTGTAAAGAAGTTTTCAAAAGTTATCTCAAAGTAAATTATAACAGATTGATTTTAATAAAATCATATATTTTAAATAATGCACCTCTTTTGCAAAGTAAAATATTTCCCCTTTTCTTCTCCTTGGTATTTTCCCTTTTCTCTAAAACTGTGAGGAATGTTTACATGATAGCATGATCTCAAGTTTGAAAATAATCATGATCATATATAAAAAATAATGATCACATACTAAATGTAAATTAAGTAGTCCTAATATATTTTAAAAATTAGTATATTCTATGTCTATACTGTGGATATAATAGAAATAGTACACTAGATTTTAGTTTTAAAGACTGATTTGTGAATAAACAACACACAGCAAGCAATTTCTTTCCATGGTTTCCAGTTGGAAGATACTTTCTAATATCATTGTAAGTTATTATAAAAATTACTTCACATATGATATGGCAAATCTCAATAAGATTTCAGAGATATTTAGTCATTTAAATTTAAATAAATAAATGTCATAAAGCCTTTTTTGTCATTCCTGTGGCATTACTATTTAAAAGATTCCCATTTCCACATGCTGTCTAAACTGCTTCATCTTAGCTTCAGAGAAGTGATTTGAAATATACGTTTCAAAATAATGACATAATGTTGACACCAACTTCAATTTTATAATTTTATACTCATCATTTTAAATAGGAATTTCCAATTGACTACTGTATAACACTGTCAAACAGAATTTTAAAACATTTCAGTCTTAAAAGCAAGTCTTTAAAACTGCACTCTAAGACATGGTGTGCACTGCAGCGCAGGCAGCTTACAGGAAACCAGAGCATGCGTTCTAACTCCAGCCAGCTCTCCTGGCTCTTGAGGACCTTACCCGACCCTGACAGTACTGCCAAGGCCAAGGAAGCCACAGGAATCAGCACCTTTCAGTGTCCCTCTTGTCCTAACAAGCACAGTTCAAGTTCTGGACAAGACTTCAGGAGATTCTAGATAGTGAGTCCAATTCTCATGCAAATGTAAACAAGGCAAGAGAGACTACCTAAGGTTAATGTTCTTTTAATTAAACTTATGCTTACATCACATATATTTTTCACTGATTTACCTATTAAAATATATTTAGTGACTACGAAGTGGCAGGGTCTTTGGACACAAAATTAAAGATTTCTTCAAAGTGCTACCATCCCGATGGAGAAAGATTTCTAAATAATAAGTTCAATAAAGTGCAACAGTTTTGGCAATAGTCATCTGTCTGGGATATTTTAGGATTCAACAAGAAATGGTCATTTCTACTTGGAAAAATCAGAAAAATTGCAGTGCCTGCCTGGCAAGTGCGAGGCCCTGAGTTCAATTCCTGATACTAAACAGAACAGAAAAAAAAAAACCCAGAAAAAACTTTATTTTTAGAAATGAAACTTGAAATGAGTCTTTATAAAAGATTACTGAGACAATCTGAAAAGGAAACTAAGAAAACAACTGCATTTACTACCGTATCAGAAACAATAAAACATTTAGGAATAAACTTAACCCAAGAGGTGAAAGACACTGAAAATTACAAAACACAGCTAAAAGAAAGAAGACACAGAAATGCTTCTCTACAATGGGGATATTTCCCCATAAACCTACACTAAATTACAAGTGCATTTAATCAACTGGGTGTGGTGGTGCACATTTGTAATTCCAGCATTCCTGGGAGGCTGAAACAGAAGGACTGCAGATTTGAGCCCAGACTGGGCAGCTTAGCAACTTAATGAGACCCCATCTCAAAACAAAGTAAACAACAAAAGGGCTTAGAGTGTATGTGGCACAGTGAGAAGATCCTGAGTTCAACCCCCAGTATTACCCCCCAAAAAGTGCATTTGATCCATCTAACCCTCCAAACACCATAGCTCAGCAACACAAAACACCTTAA